TCACTGAGCACTAACCATATCGCCATGAACATTATTCACTGAGCACTTACCATATCGCCATGAACATTATACACTGAGCACTAACCATATCACCATGAACATTATTCACTGAGCACTTACCATATCGCCATGAACATTATTCACTGAGCACTTACCATATCGCCATGAACATTATTCACTGAGCAATTACCATATCGCCATGAACAGTATACACTGAGCACTTACCATATCGCCATGAACATTATACACTGAGCACTTACCATATCGCCATGAACATTATACACTGAGCACTAACCATATCGCCATGAACATTATACACTGAGCACTTACCATATCGCCATGAACATTATACACTGACCACTTACCATATTGCCATGAACATTATTCACTGAGCACTTACCATATCGCCATGGACATTATTCACTGAGCACTTATCATATCGCCAAGCAATTGGTATACTGGATTCTTATCATTTCACTAGAAAATTGCTCACTAAGCACTATTCCGTCACCAACAACTTTTTTACTGAGCACTTATCATCCCGCCAAGAACTGACCCAAAATCAAATAGCGATGAAAACTGTTCACCTAGCACTTATCATTTCACCATTAAAATTGTTCACTAATCACTACTCATATCGCCAAAAGCTTTGTTCACTGAGCTTTCATTTTTATCGCGAAAGAACTTTGTTCATTGAGCACTTATCATATCCACATTAACTTTGTACACTTTGCATCTATCATATCGCCAAGATCATTATTCGCTTAGGAATTAATCATGTTATACTCGCCAATAGGTTAAATCTTTTATTATTGGCCTTCAGCATTTCGAATCACAATCAAAAACTTTAAGTTAATTAGAATAAGAATACCATCATCATTTATTTATTTATCTAATCACGTGGTTCATGATTCATTAGCAATAAAAGGTTTGTTCCCTACAAACTTATAATAGCTTCTTCACACGACTTATTTAATTTACGATTGAGAATTATGTTTTCTTTTCATGTTTTACAAAATTATCAAAATGACTTCCCAGAAGATAAAACAAATAATTATATTTCTTTCGAAACTGATCAAATAAATGTCACCGGGTGAGAAAAATGCGCAGCCTGACCGGGACTCAAACCCGGGACCCTCGGAATACCGTATCGTGGCTCTACCAAATGAGCCATCCGGCCGCTTACACATCTGCTCCCCTAAATAGTTTACAGTACTGAACCGTAACATTCTCTTCGTCCTCGAATTTCACACAGTAACAGAGCAATGTAAATTAAACTCTGAGCTATATCCAGTCATGTGCAGCCTGACCGGGACTCGAACTAGGGACGCTCGGAATACCGTACCGTGGCTCTACCGACTAAGCTACCCGGCCGCTTACACACTTTCTCCCCTAAATAGTAAACAGTTCTGAACCGTGACATAAATTTATAATTACATACCTACAAGCAGTTTTTATGCTCCCCGAAGGGAGAGCATATAGTCGCCACCTTGTCCGTCTGTCCGTCCGTCCGTTGTCTTGTCCGGAGCATAACTTGAAAACCCTTGGAGATAATTTGTTTAAACTTCATACAGTGGTAGTGGACATTGAGGGGGAGTGCAGTGTCAAAGAACCATAACTCTATTTTGCCCGTTTTTTTAATTATATCCCCTTATAGAAAAATCTTGTCCGGGAATATAAGAGTTATCAACATTAAACTTTGTAGGTGAATAGATCTCAATGGGTAGATGTGCAGTGCAACAGAACCATAACTCTATTTTGCCCGGTTTTTGAATTATCTCCCCTTTTAGAAAAATCTTGTCCGGGACATAACACGCAAATTATAAGAGATATCAACATGAAACTTTGTAGGTAAATAGATCTAAATGGGTAGATGTGCAGTGCACAAAAATCATAACTCTACCTTGCCTGATTTTGGGGTTATTGCCCTTTGTTTATTTTTACTTTTTGAACTTTGTCTGGGACATTACTCTAAAATTATAAGAGATATCAACATGAAACTTTATTGGTAGATAGATATTATTGAGTAAAAGTGCATTACAAAAAAAAAACCATAACTCTGTTCGGCCCAATTTTTGAATTATCTCCCCTTTTTAAAAAATCTTGTCCGGGAAATAACTCTAAAACTACAAGAGATATCAACATGAAACTTTGTAGGTAGATGGATCTTAATGAGTTGATGTGCAGTGCTTAAGAACTTGAACTCCGTCTTGCCAAATTTTGTAGTTATTGCCCTTTGTTCATTTTTACATTTTCAACTTTGTCCGGGACATAACTCGGAAACCATGAGTGGTATCAACAAGAAACTTTGCAGGTTGATAGATCGCATTGATTAGAAGTGCAGTGCAAAGAACAGTAACTCTGCCTTGTCTAATTTTGGAATTATTGCACTTTGAACTTTTTCCAGGGACATAACTCTGAAACTACAAGAGGTGTACTTACCTATTCGGGGAGCAACACCCGTCTCAAACCGGGCTCTTGTTTGTAATAATGATTATCAATGTGTTAAATTTCTTTTTTTAAGAAAATTTTATAACCAGCATCAAGGTATATTTCACTAGAAACAGATAAGATAGAGATGAAAAAACCTATTTAAGAGCTTTCCTAGCTACATATAATTTATACAACAATTGATATAAACTTTGTAATGTCGATTTTTATCTAAAAGACACGGATGTGTTAGGACATCGGAAAGTAACATTTTTAGCATGAAAAGACATTTTAAAGAAAGAGGACCAATGGTTGCTGATAAAATAGTTTTTTTTAATATTCACAAGGCCTTAATTTTAGAGTGACAGTGAACAAATTTCTGAGTCTAATCTGTATTGAAGCAGACTACTAGAAAAAGTAGGTTTTTATAACGTAATTAACATGGTTTATGCCGTAAAAACAATTTACAACAATGAACACGGGAAGCAATGGCTTAAATTAAATAAAAAAATCAAAGGGCTGCAAGCTCTGTGGTATTTTCTGATCTTTGCAATCTAAATCGCACTGTATATCTGTATTATTTTCCTGTATAAGTTTATTTTTATGTACTATAATTCTTCTTGCAGGGCACCAGAGTTTGATACCTACGGAATTTTGCATGACTAGAGTTGCATCAAATATTATTTATGTTCATTTTTATGACAGCCGCACTTTATCCTTGCATATCGTGGCTACTTCCTTAACAAAGAAACTTGAAAAAATAGTTGCCTTGAATGGGATTTGAACACCAGACCTCTGATACACTAAACGAGCGTGTTACCCCTGCACCACGAAGAAGTTATACGAACACAGCCTGAATAAAATCAAGTAATACTAAATTTAGAATTTCCATTGCATTTCGGGTTTGTAATCTTTATTAATTTCGAGGTATTTTGTTCACGATAAACCTGTTGTTTAACATTGATGTAAATAATTTAGCAAAAATCTTCTCGCCAAAACAGTCCGACATGTATATATTCCACTACTCGACAGTCAGATTTATTTGTGAAATACGCTATGATCGACATCGCTAAAAATAGCATTTTCATTGATTAAAATCATATTCATTCGCGTAATTTGTGAATGTGCATTTATTGACAATTCTATAACCCAAAGCTACTTTTAAACTTTGAATGCGTTGTAATTTGTTGGATACTTGTAACAAAATAAAAATATTTCTTTCAACAAATCGCTAGTTTTAAGCTGTTTTAAGAACTTCTTGTTGTTAGGTTTGTCGGGAAACCGCTGTGTCAGATATTGAATGTTAGCTTTGTAACAAAAACTATTTTGCAAAACATACATGTATGATTACCTGTTATTGTTTCGATAGACAACCATGTATTCGCCGAGCACGGCTTGTCACGTGATTGACGATAGAAGGATTATACTACAAGAGTTCTGATTGGCTGATGCATCGGATGTTGGCGACAAGCGAATATGTCCACCCATCAAAAGTCTTTTGGCCATGCATGTTGTATTTTTGTGTTTTATTGTTGTTTTTTTTTTCACCGGGGGGTCAAAAAAATTCATACGGGTGGGGGAGGGGTGTATGTTGGTCGTGGGGCCACCGTACGTTCGTGATCAGCGACTGTCTAAAGTGACTCGGCATTGAAAACGCTGCTTAGTGGTCACTTTGTGGCCGTACGTTCGTGATCAGCGACTGTCTAAAGTGACTCGGCATTGAAAACGCTGCTTAGTGGTCACTTTGTGTTGTTTGTAAAATAGTCGATTGTGACACCTAAAACATATATTATAACTTTAAAATGATATACATAATGCATGGTCAGTTTTTAGGTTTAATGCAAACATGAGGAAAACGGAAAGATGATATGGTAGTACCACGCATCTTATGTACGTGTCATTATAAGATAAAATAGATATATGAATTGGTTTATTCCGTTTAAATTTTGCTGTATTATTGGTTTAAACGAATAAATGAAAAGCACAATACTGTTAAAAATACGTTACAAAGTTTCTGATCGTTTCACGTTAACGGTATAATGATCACGTGTATGTGGTTGTTAAAAAAATCTTAATGTTATTTAAATGTTTACCTGTTAAACAATGTAACAGAAAACGTATATAATTGAATACAGACTATAGTGAGCGCTATTGCGTAACGTAGTTTACTGACAGGCTAGATTAAACATGATACACTGACACCAGGAAGTGTTGGCGACGAGCATTCTGATTGGCTCGTTCAACGTGACCTCTTTCCGGGTGTAGTGCATTATGTCGCTGATTGTAATAGTTTAAGCGCGAACAGAATGAGGAACTTGTTTGCTATAATAAAATGTTTTATTGTATTAGAGCGACTTTAATATTCTCTTTACTTCAGTCAGAGCATTCATTAAGTTTAAATATATTCTTCTGTTTTAACTATTTTACATCTTTATATAATAGTTAGAAATAAACAAACATTATAGTCAAATTTCTGATTTTTTTTCTTTTTTGTCCCAAACATATTGTCCCCTCTTGTTCCCCTTTATACCAAATGCAAGGTTATATTTTTAAATATGTTTAAGATGTTTACTATATATGAATCTTAATGTTGTATTTTAAAGGAATTTCTAAACGTGTTCCTTATTTAGTGTTTTACACTGGATTATCGTGAAAGCCTTGAGGTTAACATTTAAATTGTTGGAAGTAAATGATATTTATAAAATTAATATCTGCACCAACGAAAGATAAACACAAAGTTCTTCTTGGAATTTCTATCAGATTTATCTTTACAATGTCTACCTAATGTTTAGAAAAGGAAGTAAACTTCGGTTGATAATCATTTTTGTATGTATTTACATCTAGATTTATAAAAATAAAAACTGAAGTTGTGGTTTACTTTAAAGAAAGGTTGAAAAAAAAATGCATTTTTATATTAAACATGAATTGAAACAGTAAATTAAAAATAACAACTCACAAACATACCTTATCCAGGTAGCGAAATTTTAAACTGTGAGGTTTAATGCGGTGAGGAAATAAAGTGTGTTGTGAAACAGCAAATCATGGATGTTTAATGGTTTAGGTAAGGAAATTAATATTTGATTGATCGATTCACTATCAGTATTATGCGAGTCACTATTAGGCTAGTGATAGGGTATATTGTACCCAGTCTGTACCGTTTCCATTCTATTTATTTTTGTACTGTTACGGATGAAAACAAATGTAAAAGTGAATTTACCAAAATTAATAATGTCACAGTATAGGAAATTAGAAAAATATCATTTTTCTTTCTATCTTTTATTCCTGACACAGACTCAACAAAAAACGCATGTCATAAAAAAATTATTATTTTGTACCGGATCTATTTCAAAGAGCCATTAAGGAAGAATAAATATCATTAAGAATGTTTTACCGCTTAAAATATGTACGAATTCGTGACACATTTGTGACAAATACGTACGAATTATGTCGCAAAAAGATATTGTGAAATTGTCGTACGAAATATCTTTTCATTTATATTAGATAACTGATGAAAGATGAGGTTTGGGTTGTGAGATACAGATGTCTCTATTTTCCCTCAATGGAACTGTCATGTTTTATGAGATAACCATTTTGACTTGACTATCTATTTTTGCACAGTGTCTTGCCTTAGTGTCTTGCCATATATATATTTTGTATTGCATATCCTCACGGGTCATTTGGCCTTATGGAATTTAAATTATAGTCTTATTGCCGTTTTACCAAATGTGTCACGTTTCATTTGAAATAGTGCAATCCTATTGGACAAAAATAATGTTAAACACTATCAAGATTTATCACCCCTTGAAACCTACAGTTAACATTGAAATTATTTTGACTTACGGAATTTACCTACGTCACATATGACAAAAATCGAGACTGTTTTAAGAAATGGTCTCCTTTTAAAATTCATTTCTCTTTCGTACAAATATTTTAATTCTTTATTCCATTCTTTCCCTGTTTTTAAAGTTTAATGACACTTGTTCTTAAGGATTAAAATGCTTGTGCCTTCATACCAATCAACTCATTTAATTTAAATTGTATATTTATCATTAAATTTGTATATTTATAATTTGGTTTGTTCAATGTTCATCTGTATATGGCCGATGTTTTTGTTGGGGTGGGGGATAGTAAATGTCATGTTAATGTTGTTGTTTTTTATGTTTTCTATGTTGTTGAAATGACCATCCAATTTATTTGATTCATTTCTCGATGAACCGAATTTACTCGTCCAGTTCGGTTTCTATGGTGTCCTGTTTGAGGCAGTTATAATATCGTCTGTTAAGATTTAAGATTAACTAAGTCTCTTGTTTTAGCTCGACTATTCGAAAAATAGGGAGAGCTATTGTAATTGTGAATTTTGACTGAACTATGGCCCCTTTGAACTTAAAAAAATCTACATTATTCAGGCTTTTGTTTTACGAATAGTCGAGCGCACTGGCTTTTGCGAATAGATAAGTAGCGAGATTCGAAGAACTTTCACTATAGTCACTGGTTTTGTAAATAAGTTATAGTTCTCGAAAGAAACATGAGAAAATTAAGGTTAATCATCGCGAAGATTTTTTTTTCATTTTGATTCGCACGAGGATTAAAGTTAAGCATGAGACAAATTCAACGTTGAATGGCGGGCGAAAAGTTTCTTGCGAGAATATAAAATCTTGCTTCTTTATCTATAAAAATACAGAAAGGCGGGGCAAGACTTTAGAAAAAAATGACGCTAGGGCGAAAATAGTTCTTATTCATACGCATGCAATGTTTTTCTTACATTTACACTTATGAATCATCATAAGCTTTAAAGTTACCTGATCTGAAAACGTATTCCATTACTTTCTAAAAAATTAGAGTTCTATGACACTTAATTAACTTATGACTACATGTAATTTGTAGTATATTTATCAAGTACTTCGGCTATGATCGACCGCTGGCGTAGTAATATTCAAATCGCGTAAAGCAATTATATTCATACACTTTTAAAAGATGATTGCAAAATTTAGTAAATAATTGGTCAGTCAATTTTAAAATAGAACTATGATTTTGGGAGTAACTGAGAAGTCTTGGAACTATTTTGCTTAGCGTAGATAGCTTACAAATGTGTTAAAACCATAGTAAAGCTGAGCTGTCGTTATTCCAATGCGCCCCCAAAAATAGCATGTAAATAGGAGTCCTTTAACTGGCCCAAGCAGGACACCATATATTTCAACTGTAATAAATCCACGTGGAAAGTAACGGTTATTTAAAAAAGTGTTTTCTTTACAGACTTTGAATAGCTCTGCTGGGGGTATAGTCGTATAATTAACGTTGCATCAAATCTATGCCATGAATGAATAAATAAATAAATAAATAAATACATTTTGTAAACGAATCAATCAATCAATCAATCATTCATTCAATCAATCAATCAATCAATAAATCAATAAATAAATGTGAAATTTGATGTTTAACACAGCACCATCTTAAACTCAAAAAGGTAATAATAATAATATTGCATGGAAGTCTATGATTTATTATCGTGACCGAAAATTAGTTAGTGGTAAAATTTTTTTTTAAACATTTGTTTTCTGCCTTTAAAATGTTTCTGTCGGCATGCAAAGTATGGACTCATTAAATGCTAACATGTACGATATAAATATTATTTAATAATCCGGGATAAAGTTGTATTCATACTCGGCTGAAAAACTATATTATGTACTTCTTATATTGTAATCTATATATTGTATAAAACGCAGTTCAGTTATCTAATAATAATTATACTAACGTACTATTGCAAATAGTATTTTGCTTATATAAAGTACACCGTCTCTATTATTTGGTCAAACTCTCGACTCCTCCACTGCAGCATTCACTGCATTATTTCCAATATTAGTGTACAACTCGTACAAATGTTTAATAAACCGTGCTCGTAATTCACGTTTTAATATATCGCTGCTCGCTGTTAATGCATAGAAACGGGAAAGATATAGCTTCACGACTAGCTTTGATCTATCTACTGTAGCCACTGTAAGAAAGCAACGAAGGTGTCACTGAAGTTTTTTTTGTGAAACACGTGTTATAAACCTGACACGTGCGATAAGAAAATAGCACGCACAAGTATATCTGGTGGTATGAATTTAGCTAAAACAAATGTCGTATTCAAAGCTACAGACTATTATTTTTCATATTCGACTAAAACAAGTTTTCTCACGTAATTAACTTTCTCGTATACATGTATAATTATAGTATATATCTTATATTTTCGCTCAAAAGATGATTAAAAGTGGACAAGGCCGCCAGAAGACGTGATAGAAATCATCTATTTCTTTGTCGTTATGTTTGTCACAGAGTTCCTATGTGCCATACACACCAAAAATTTGAACGACAGGGTAGAAAAAATACTAGGTGAAAAGTTAAAAATAAAATCAGACAAATTAACCAGTAGATAAGGTCTTGTATAGTCCGTCTGTCCCTCAATCCGTGTGTCTGTCTGTAACATATTTCACTTCGTAGATCATATACCCATTCAAAAATATTCTTTAAACTAAGGTCAGCTTTGTACCACAGAACGTTTGGTGAAGCTACACTAGATCAAGGTCAATGTCCCCTGTTTTATATTTTTCAGAGCATGTTCTTGAAACTTCGAAAACATTTATAAAAAACATATCGCATCTAGGTCCGTCCAAAGTCAAACGGGTTTCAGTAGATACTTCATGGTCATTAACGCCTAAAACATAACCGTTGTTGGCAAGTGACCGCTACTCGGAAGTGACCATTAGCTCTAGTTAGCCTTGCCATACCATATAAAATCATATCATACCATACCATACCATTGATGCCATATCATACCATACCATACCGTACCATACCATACCATTGATGCCATATCATACCATACCATACCGTACCATACCATACCATTGATGCCATATTATACCATACCAAACCACTGATGCCATATTATATTATATCATACCATACCATAACAATGATACCATATCATACCATACCATTGATGCCATATTATATCATATCATACCATACCATTGATGCCATATTATATCATACCATACCATACCAGTGATACATATTATATCATACCATACCATACCATACCATACCATACCAATGATGCCATATTATATCATACCATACCATACCATACCAGTGATACCATATTAAATCATACCATACCATACCAATGATGCCATATTATATCATACCATACCATACCAGTGATACCATATTAAATCATACCGTACCATACCAATGATACCATAGTATATCATACCATACCAATGATGCCATATTATATCATACCATACCAGTGATACCATATTATATCATACCATACCAATGATGCCATATCATATCATACCATACCAGTAATACCATATTATATCATACCATACCAATGATGCCATATTATATCATATCATACCATACCATACCAGTGATACCATATTAAATCATACCATACCATACCAATGATACCATATTATATCATACCATACCAATGATGCCATATTATATCATATCATACCATACCATACCAGTGATACCATATTAAATCATACCATACCATACCATACCAGTGATACCATATTATATCATACCATACCATACCATAACAATGATACTATATTATATCATACCATACCAATGATGCCATATTATATCATATCATACCATACCATAACAATGATACCATATTATATCATACCATACCATACAATACCATACCATTGATGCCATATTATACCATACCATACCATACCAATGATGCCATATTGTATCATATCATACTATACCAATGATGCCATATTATATCATACCATACCATACCAGTGATATCATATTAAATCATACCATACCATAACAATGATACCATACCATACTAATTATAACATATTATACCATACCATACCTTTTGTACTAGCCTGTTGAACTTAGTCTGTTATCGATCGAGTGATCCAGAGATTTATGGATAATTAAAATATCAGTAATGCTCGATGCGATTTGTTGTTCAACATCCAATTACAGCCGAACACAGTCCAATACTTTACTACGAGAAGCGAGCATTCATCAGCTAGT